GGCTTATTTTTGGAGGGTGTCTTATTTTTTTTCACCAAATGGCCCCTGCCCCACCAGGCGACTTAGGTTTTCCTTGGTGGGGGAGGAAGGCTTTGGAAACTGCCTTTTCGTTTACATTCATCATCAATATTCTAATCCGTCCCTTTATTTTTTTTAAAAAAATGATTTGTATTTACCACGATTAGTCTTCTTGATTGCCAATGGGACATCTTGGGATGCCCAGCTTTCTTTCCCGCTCTTCCGCAGAGGAAGAGAAAGTCGGCAAAGCCCATGGGGCAGTGCAGGCCGCTTCCGGAGGCTGCTTTGGGGTGACGGTGAAAGAGAGAAGCTGCTGGTTGAGGCCCCGACCAGTCCCCACCCCCACCTGCCCACTGGATTCCCCAATCCAGGGCAGGGATAGAAAGGAGGCAGCCTCCGCTTGCCTCAGGCCCCGGCTCTCTTAACGTTCAGGCCACCTCGCAGCAGCGGCCCCAGCAGCAGGCAAGGGGGGAAGCACATGATCCGGCCTGCCAAAAAACCTACAGTGGGATGGAGTGGGCGGGGTCTTAAGTAGGGCTTACTTTTTGGGGTAAGGCTTATACCCCCAAAATCAAGCTAGGTCTTATTTTCTGGATAGGTTGTATTTTCGGGGCAACACGATAGAAGTTTAGTTCAACCTGTACACTGAATTCTGAAGGTTTATTGCTACAATCATGGGAGGTCATGAAGCAAACGGGGGGGGGAAGCAAGATGCCTGCAAGTGACTTATGAGCTTCAGACTACTGAGGAAGGTAACTCCATACCTGGATTAGACAGAAATCTAACTATTTTAATACCGTCCTTACAATGTGTATAAGCCAGCCAAATCCTTCCAATAAACTTGTAAATACAAATACATTCTCACTGCACAGGTAGTTGCATTCCAGGTCAGAATTGTTCTAAGATGCTTCTTTGATTTCCCAGTCTAGTTTGCGATTTAAGACAGGGGTCCCAAACCCACAGTCCATGGACTGGCAATCGGCGGCATGCCAGAAACCAGTCCGTGCAAACAAGTGAAGCCCCATATGCTGGATGCAGGCAACATGCAAAACATGTAAAACCAACTCCCCTCCGGTCCGCAGAAAAACCTCTCTCCACGGAACTGGTCTGGTGCCCAAAAGGTTGGGGGCCACGGCTTTAAGATTTTCTGGTGGTCTCCAATTCTAACACTAATCAAGCCTCATCTTGCTTAGCTCAGGCAATAATTGGATGTGTGCTGCCACCTGCTGAGACAAGCTCTTACTATTTCCAGTTTGTAACTCCCTCCTGAATTAAAAGGGGGAATTAAAAATGAAAATTAGGATTACCACACCCTTAAAACAGTACAAGATTGTAGCTTCAGTTTGTCCTATAGGTGCTAAATGAAAATGGTAACACAGAGAGTCCTGCTTCTTTGACAAGTATATTTTATTTTTGAAATAAGAAGCAATAGCTATTAGCTATTTCTTTCTTTGAGAAAGAAAGTCAGTTTAATTCCATATATTACTGTCAACAGTTTTGTGTATAGGAAGGCAGAAGCAGGAAGAAGTTTCTGTTCTTTCCCTCATGCAGGAAATGGGTAATGATTAAAATAAAGTGGCCTTTTGCTTGCCTGAAAGCTATTAATATTTATTATACTACTAATCCAGTCAATAACTGAAATCCTCTGGGTGAACTAAATGTTAGTAAAAACATTTTTGTATTTTATAGATATTAAATAAACACACAGCAAATAGCATCACAGACAGTTTAAAGCTTGCATTCATTTTTTTTTTTTTTCAACCATCCCGTCCTATGCAGTTGGGGTATCACCGGACACCTCCTTAAAAAAATCCTACATATAAATCTATAATACAAACCTACCCTTTTCCCCGCTCCCCCCCAGGACTTCCCAAAGCTAATCTAGGAAATAAACACAAAATAATCAAAATCTATTCACAATTACTCCATATTACTACACACTAGTATAAACTTGCTATGACTCTAAAATAACATTAAGATACATACAAAAAAATTTTAAAAACATCTTTTGTTAATCAAAAGCTACATAGTAATTTTTCAATTCATACTTTCTCTGAATATAATCTATCCATCTTCTCCACATTGAGATAAATTTTTCCTGAGAATGATCCTTCAGGTACGCAGATATTTTTGCCATCTCTGCAAAATGTGATACTTTCTGTCTCCAATCATCCATAGTTGGTAATATCTTTTTTTTCCAATTTTGAGCAACTAATGTCCTTGCTGCTGTTATACAATACAACATCAATTTCATTTCTTTTTGATCCAAATTATCCATGATACCCAGTAGAAATAACTGCGGTGTAAATTTTATCTTTTTCTTAAAAATCTGTTGAATATTCCACCAAATCTTAATCCAAAAGGCTTTAACATCCCTACATGTCCACCAAATATGATAATAAGTAGCATCCATACTACCACATCTCCAACATTTTGGTTGCAAATTCGGATACATGCAAGACAATTTTTGAAGGTCCAAGTGCCATCTATAAAACATTTTATAGAAATTTTCCCTTAAATTCTGTGCTTGAGTGAACTTGACATTTCTTACCCAAATTTTTCCCCAAGTTTCCAACTTTATTGGTTCTTGAATATTTTGAGCCCATTTAATCATACAATCTTTAACCAATTCTGTTTCCGAATCAAATTCTATCAAAACACGCTTGCATTCATTTTTATGGAAGTGGATTGGTCTTGCAATGCTGAATAAAACGCTCAATAATCAAATGATTTCCTTTATAGAGTATCTTTTTTAGAGATAATGGAGAATGGCAAAGGGAAGAGTTTCGAACAATCATATTTGAATTTTTCCTATTTCCCTAGAACAGTGGTTTTCATACATTTTGGTTTTAGCGTTAGTGTTAAATGGAATTTTAGACTTCATTATTAACCTTCTAATAAAGGTGCTATTAGCATTTTAGCATGGCATCCATGTATCTTTTTGAAGTTCAGGAAAACATGTTTTCCTTTTAACCGAAGTCATTTCTTCTTTTGATAGCAAGAACCAACCTTTTCAGCAACTAAACAATAGGGAGCATTCTGGAAATCCTTGAATACAGACACTCCTTGACTTACAACTGTAATTGAACCCAGGAATATGATTGTTAAGTCACTATAGTTGTAAGTCAACATGACCAAAAGTAATTTTCCAGACTTTTTTGCAGTAGTTGTTGAGGAAAGTTGTTGTGGTGGTCATTAAGCAAACATTGCAATTGTTAAATAAACACGGTAGTTGTTAAGTGATCCAAGTCATTGAATGGGCATATTTTGCAGGAAATGGCAAAAAACATCACAAATTGTGTTCACACGACCGTGCCACAATCAGCCATAAAACTGACCCGCTCGACATGCACTCATAAAATGTGAGAACTACCTGTATACATGTAACTATATTAAGAAAGATACCAATTGGACTGGAAGGGGGTGTCAACATTCATAAATTTACCATTTAGGGAAATAGGATCAATGTTTTCTATTGTTTAATACTCATGTTTAATAAATGTGTTTTATTTGTTACTTTCTGACACATCACATATAACAAATGTAATATTTGTTTCTATGCCCTATAACAGTGGTTCTCAACCGGTCGTAAATCGAGGACTAAACCGGTCGTAAGTCGAGGACTAAACCGGTCGTAAGTCGAGGACTAAACCGGTCGTAAGTCAAGGACTAAACCGGTCATAAGTTGAGGACTACCCAACCGATCGTAAGTCGAGGACTTTCCCTGCCCGGGAGCGCCGCACATGCGTGGTTCTGCCCCCTGCGCCGGCCGAGGCGTAGCTGGCAAGCGGCAGAGACAGAGCAGACCGACCACCAGCTGGCCCAGCCCAAGGGAGGTAAGGCACCCGCCGGAAAAGGGGAAAAAAAATGGCAGACAAAAAAATGGCGGACAAAAAAAATGGCGGACAGCCTTGCTTGGCGACCCCCGTGAAATGGTCGATCGACCCCAAATGGGGTCGCGACCCATAGGTTGAGAACCGCTGCCCTATAAAAAGATTTGCTAACCCCTCCCCCACGTAGATGCTTTTTTTTTTTTTGCCTGAATTACTTGGTGATTTGTATTTTCGGATGGGTTAAAAAAAAACACACCTTTCCAGAGGTAAAAGTGTTTTTCTCTCCCAAATTTAGGAAACAGAACTTCGTCTCCACGTAAACTTGTTGCCTGAGTTTCTAGGCAACATCAGAACACTTCACATTCTTAAAAATGATTGAGGACCCAAAAAGCTTTGGTATATGTGGGTTGTTATCTATTGATATATACTGAATTAGAAATTAAAACTAAGAAATTTAAAATATTTGACTTTGTGGGCCACTTGAAGAGGTCACAGAGACATCTAGGCATCCACAAGCCACATCTTGGGAACCCCTGCCCTAGAAACAACCTGACAAAAAGGTTATTTCTCAAATGGGAGACTTCCTAGGAATACTGGGGATACAAATGAGATTAATGTATCTTGTGGAATAGAGCAATGGCATTGCACTTCAGGATCGAGGATATATTTGCCTGCAGTCAACAGGCGTGGCATTCAGTTTCCAGGAGACTTTATGACTTCTTGGGAATATTTTTTTTACTAAAAAAAAACCATTGATCGCCATTAATCATAACGTTTTCCTGGTTATTTGATATGTATTTTTTGAAAATATTATTTTCAATATTTTATCACGATATAATATTTTATTCAATATTATATAAAAGTATTATTTGAAAAAAGAGTTTTGTGTAATTCCGAAACTTGGCTTTACTAGCAACCAAACATGAATAAGGGCATTCGTCACTCCCTCTGGTGACAGACAAGATCCAGTGGGCGTGTCCAACAAAGCCGGAAGGGGCAAGACATTCGAATTACTTTCTTCTATGGCAGGGGTGGGAAACTATGGCCCTTTTATGATTTGTGGACTTCAATTCCCAGAATTCCTGAGCCAGTTCCCCACCCCTGTTCTATGGCATCGGACACCTTAGCAACCGACCCGGCAGTAGACCCGTAGAGCCAGGCTACGTTCTAATTTTAGTCTCTTTGTCACCTTGGTGACCGCTACGCCCGGCCAATGATGCTTCGTGCTCTTGGCTTTCCGCGTTCTCCTTTTCGCTGGATGCGGGCCCAGACACTCCGATGCCGCCTCGCTATCACAGCCCGGGAAAGAAAGGGTCTCGCCAGCCGCGCCATGATGTAAGAGCTCGGGAAGGGGGTGGAACTTGAAAAGAGTAGATAGAGCGAACCTCCTGGTTCATGAAGCCTCCATGTTCCCGGTTGTGTCAGGATCATTGACCGGATGTAGTCATCATAGAGATGGAAAGGACAGGCTGTAAATATACAATAAAATGATGGCGTCCCAATAGCCCCCCCCCTTTTCGGCGGTCAGCTGCGATGGGGCCGCAGAAATGGTCTATTTCCTGTCTGAAATACCTGTACAATGTATAATTTATTTATTTATTTTTATTAAATTTATATCCCGCCCTTCTTGCGGACTCAGGGCGGGATATATCAATTTGGTTGTAATAACCCATAAGACCACTAGATGGCAGCATATAAATGCAGAATATTTTCAGATGATTCTGTTTTTAAAATGCTGCTATTTATTGATTCCTTTGAAATGGATTTATGTTGCTAGTAAGCTGCCTCAGAGACTCCTAAGGGGAAAAGATAGAGCATCAATAATCAAAAGCTTATTTATGGTCTACTTATTCTACTTCACTGGTCCTTATAGAAGCTTCCAGATTTTGCAAGGAAAACCACAAGCAGAGCTCAAGTAAAATTACTCTTTTTTATAGTAGCTCACTTCCTTCTAGAATCTTCCTGGAGATTCTTTTTAGCTAATAGTCATTCATAAATCTGTCCTTACATTAATTTGTCTTTATAAACCTTGCAAACATTGCTACTAATCTTAGCTGAAACAATTAAGGCCGTGGAATGGCAGCAAGGAGGGTTTCCACATATCTATGTTACTATCTGCCACTTTGTGGTCATCCACATTTTTGCTGTCTGGGTCTGCTAGCCTAACCATCAACTTGATCATGGCTTTTGTTTTATTTATAGGCCAGTGCCTCTCTCCTATGCCATTTTTGATGGACCATCATCAGATCCTCCACTTGTTTTCTTGCATGGGCTGTTTGGAAGCAAATCCAATTTTTCATCCCTCGTAAAAAAGTTAGTGCTCCAAACTGGTCGCAAGGTGGGTAAAAAATGGAGTATGGTCAGCCAGGGAGGGGGTTCTTACTGGTTTGCAAATCAGTTGCTGCCAAAAATGAGTAGCCAGAAGTTCTTTTGCAGGATTTTGTATAACAGAACATTCTAAAATACTTGTCAATCTGTCTCAGGTGATCCATAGCTTTTTATGTTTTTTTATGCAGCTCTAAATTCAACACAACAGAAAGTCTTCGTTCTTTTTAATGTCTCTTGCTGCAGCTTCATCATGTCACTGTCTCATAAACAATCTTAAAATATTCAGACGTGATTAAGATAATGTTGCAAAGAAGAACAAAGGAAATACCTGTATATAAGAAAAGGAGGACATTAATTAAAAACAAGGTGTTGAATCACAAGGCACATATAATCATTAACTAAATGAGAAAGTAGAATTGGACTGATCTGAACTAAGAGTCCTCTAGATTTCTCTTATTAGATTTCATGCTCTGACACAACTTAATGAGTACAAAAATATGAGCTTTCCATATTGGAAAGATTACAATTGCTTAATAGTACATAATGCATCAAAACTGAGTCATTCTGGATAGCAAGATGGGNAAAAATCTCAAATAATTTGTTCTGCTCTTTTACAACACTGAACCTGCAGGTTATTCTAATTTTTATAATTTAATACAACTCTTATGCAATGCCTTTTTGGGAAGTCTGCAAACTTAGCTAAGATATGATTCAAAATGAGTCCATATTGGGCTGGAATTAAACCCAAAGCTATAAATTAACCACTTCTTTTAAATCTTGGGTGGTTTTCTTCTCTCACTATCTTACATAGTTTTAATATAAATATATTACAACCATGTAAGAGAAAGAGAGAAGGAAAGCAAACTTGGAAAATCAACCTATTAAAAGGAGCTAAACTTCCCCTGCATCAGGGGTGTCAAACTGCCGTCCCACGGGCCGGTTGCATCATGTGGAGGCCGCACCTACCCCAGCTCCGGCAATGCAAAAAAAGTCACAATATGTTGTGACATGTCACATGACGTGGCGAGTTTGTCACCTGTGTCCTACATGGTCTGATTTGCAGCTTTGAATAATTTTTTTGATCCAGAGCTGTTCCTGAATCTCTATGGGATGGAAATAGTAATTAAGCTTTTCTACAACTTCCTCAATTGTATCTATTGCAACAATTCCTGAGTTGGTCAGACCTGGTAATAATCACCTATGTATTGGTGACATTATGTTTAAACTACTAGACTACACAACTGTGTACTAAATGAGGCTACCTTTGAAGAATCTCCAGGTACTGGAAAATTCAACAGTTAGACTGTTCCTTGGTGGATCATAATAATTTCATCATGTCTGTTTGAAATATAGTTCTGGTGATTCTTAAGTAAGTATGGCTTTATCTTTGCCAACCTGCTGGCTTCCCTCTTCTCTTGCCCAGATAGGTGCTAACAATAGATGCCCGCAACCATGGGGATAGTTCCCATAGCCCCATCATGACCTATGAAGCAATGAGTGCTGACGTCCATCTCATTCTGAAACAGCTACATCTCAGTAGGTGTGTCTTAATTGGCCACAGCATGGGCGGCAAGACAGCTATGGTATTCGCACTACAATGGGTATGCATTTTTGATTAGTTCTTCTTCTAGTATTTTACTGTTGATATTGGAGTAATATGGCCTGTTAGACAAAATGGGAGTTGGTTATTGAGAGAGGAGGAAAAGTAGATGTTTAGCAGATAGAAATATTTTATTACCAGAAATTTGTGTATGGGCATGAAGGGGGAACATAAAGTTTACATCCATGGCAACTCAAAGATTTATACATAATAGATATCAAAAGTTGACTGTCCCTTAGGAAATCCTGTCATACGATATTGTGAACAACAATATAACAGTTTATAGTTTCTATGGATAATGAATGTAAAAATAAATTGATCAGAGAACAAATTGATCTGGGGTTGCCACCTAAAGCACAAATCTGCAGGCTCAAATTATAATATTTGGAATACCATGTGAAGACCTAGCTCTCTAGATGAGTCTATAATACTGAGAAAGGTGACAAGAAAGGGAAGATGATGAGATACACCATTGGAAAACCTGGAGGGCCAGTTTGGAGAGAAATGACAGCAAATTATCTCACTTTGCATAATTTATGTTTTTACAATTCAGGCTTTAAAAACATATTTTTGTCTGAAGCCACAGCACGCAAAAGATGCTTTAAAAAAACATTTCCTCTATTCTTATTTTTAATTAGTTACAAAGTCCTAGACTTACATAGTTGTACAAGTTCAGAACACACAAACAGACAAGAACTGAAGTTCCTCAAAATGTATATGCTATATTTCAAATTAACAAGGACAGTCAACATCTAATTTTCTGGGATGATGAAAATAAAATTTGAAACAATTGCAGAACAAACATGTAGCCAATTTTACAATTTTTAAGTATAATTTCTCCCTATTTTAGTGCCTACACTCAGTTAGAAGAGCATGCTGCAGAATAGGTGTAGCAACTGTTGGTCATGGTTGATTCATTCATTCTCCTCTGGAAGAGGGGGTAGAAGACATAAATTCTAGTCAGACGTAAGGTTATGCATCTTTTTCTTTGAAACACAATTCCCTTTCTTCTTACAATGTCTATGATGGAAACTGATTCAGTGTATTCTTGTCTGTTACACTGAATCTGCCTTAGAATTCTTATTAGAGTCTAGACTAGGCTACTTATTTTCCAGAAGGCAGGACAAGAAACAATAGATGGAAACTAATCAACTTGGAATTAGGCAACTCTTAAAAATATACATGAAATACCATCAACCAGTTATTTGACAAGTGAAAACAAAGCTGAAGGGCTGAGTTTACCTTCACTTACTTCTGATCAGGATAGGAATTCTACTTTATTTTGTTGGTGAGTCAACAAGGAGCTTCATATACTGAATGTTTTCTGGCTTTATTTTTATTTGTCATCTTTAATTCTGCAATATAACTAGTGCAATGATTTCTTATAGAGCTCCTGACCTTCTGTCAAAGGTGTCAGACGGGACTAGTTAGGCTTGGAGTGCCTTAATAAGCCTACAAGGACCTAACTAAATATTGGGATGTAACTGACCTCTTGTAACTCACTGCAGATCCCTTTGGAGCTTCCCAAAAGATGTAGTGGCATCTCCTACTTTGCCCCCCAACAACCACACCAAGCGGTTGGGCTGAAAAAAGTGATTGGCCTAAAGTCAGCCAATGAGCTTCTATGCCTCAGAATAGACTTGAACCTGTGAGAACAATAAACTAGTGGAACAGCTTGCCTTCAGACGTTGTGGGTGCTTCATATCACTGGTGATTTTTAAGAAAAGACTGGACAGCCACCCATCTGGCTCAGGAATTCTGGGAATTGAAGTCCACGAGTCATAAAAGAGCCAAGGTTGCCTATCCCTGGTATAGAGTCTCCTGCTTGAGCAGGGAGTTGGGATAGAAGATCCAAGGTCTCTTCTAGCTCTATTCTGATTAATTGATTGAAATAGGGACTGGTGTGACAGCTCTTTCAGCCAATGATTTCTATGATCTCCTTTTTCTTTCCCCAAATTTGTTCCTTTGCAGCCAGAACTGGTGGAGCGCTTAGTGTGTGTTGACATCAGTCCTAGCCCAACAAAAGATGTCAGTGGCTTTCAGGAGTTCATTGCTGCCATGAAAGCAGTGGATATCCCTAAAGGTATTCCTCGTTCCACTGCACGTCGTATGGCTGAAGAACAACTGCGCCCAACTATTCAGGTACAGTGTTTTTGTCAGAGAGCACACGTTATACATTTCAGATCCAAGCTACTTTACCTTTCTGAGGCATGCGAAAGTGTGGAACAAGAAATAGTGCTGATATATGCTAGTGTGGTATTGTTTTAAACAGAATATATCATTCTTCAGAGCTGGGCATGTACAACACGTAAATCAGTTTACCAAATTCAGCTTTATTTGGATGTAGTCACACAAAATGACTGCCCAAGGATTATGCTTCATATTTAAGCCATCATCCCTTTTTTTCTGTAGGAGCCAACTATCCTCTACTTTCTACTTACTAACCTAGTGAATGCTGAGGACCAATTTGTATGGCGCGTGAATCTAGCGGCCATTTCACAACATCTGAATGACCTCATGAGTTTTCCTGACTTCCAGACATCTTATTTAGGCCCTACTCTCTTTCTTGGGGGTTCCAAATCTGGCTATATTAGGTAAGAGATTTGGAGCTTCATTTAAAATAATATCTGCAGGTTGCAGCCTGAAATCTTTTTACATTGCATATCAAACAATTTTCAGTAAACAGTAGGCTATAATCTACATACCCCAAAAGGTAAATTTGTCTTGCTGAGTGTCTGCAGATGATGCTTTTGAACCTAGGCATGATTTAATCTGAATTGTATTTTGCATAGCTAGGCCAAAGATAGTTTGGAAGTTTAGATCTGGTGGATGTTTCTATCACAGACTTGCTGTTTAACTTTGGTTTCCAGAATGGTCTGCCATTCCACCTTGCTTTTTAGGGTCAGTTGAAAGCATAAGGTCCTTTTTCACTAAGTTCCTTTTTAATGCCTTTTAGTTTCTCTCATTCACAAACAACTAGTTACCTACTGTATACTTTATATAGTACAAACAAGTTATTTTATTATCATATTATATTGATTGATATAATTTATAAACACCACAAAGTTGTTACTCCAATTTTTTCTGTTTCCTTCCCACTTCTGTGTCTACTTTTCTGCAGTTCCAATAACTACTCTGAGATCAAGCGTCTCTTTCCTGATGCTGAAATCCAGCATATTCCCAATGCAGGGCACTGGGTTCATGCGGATCAACCCCAAGAATTCATCACTGCCATTTGCAACTTTCTTGCACTCCATCCACTGTAAGATTTCTGAACAGATCTATGCAAACTATCCTCTCAAGATTGGATGTTTTCCCATTGGACTTAGTGTTGTGTGTGGCTCATGGTCTGATTTCAAAAGCTCCATGCGAGCGATCCATTCAGTGTTTGGTCAAATTGTCAGTCCCTCTCTGATGATCTGCTTCTTGGAAGACTTAGAAGTGGGAGTCAGAGTCAGAGAATGAGAGACAAGAGAGATGTTAGAAAACAGAAGTGTCATAAAGCAAAACTGAGGAGTCTTAACCACTTTCGGCTCTGGCTCAACCAACCATTTGCTCCAGTTCTGCCTTTCAATGCAGACTCCACTTAATGGAACATGCCCTCATAGCATATTATAAATGTGATAATCCACTTGTGGTTAACAGGGAACTCTGGTCTATGTATGTATATTTATTTATTTATTTATTTAATAACCCTACCAAAAAACCCAAATATTGGCAAACACCACACTGACAATTCATTGCTCCAGATGAGATATAGATTTCACCCTGCAGTGATTCTTAATTGTTCAGATATCCCCAATCCATTATTCTAGATCCAACACTAGATCTATAATCAAGAAGGATACATGCTGTTTTAGACAACCTGTATAATAATAAAACTTTTGTTCCTGTAACGTTTAACTGGGCAAAATAATACATCATATAGCAACCATTTTTGAACCAAGGAACTCAGATGGGCTAACTTGCAAAATTCATCCAAAATCCAGGACCTGTGACTCCCATGGAATTGAAATATGGTAAATTTTATAAAACATTTTATGACATAAAATTATCATAAACCAGTTCAGAACATACAAGTAGTCCTCTACTTACAACCATTTAGTGACATTTCAAAGTTACAACAACACTGAAAAAAGTGGCTTCTGTTTTTCACACTTATGACCATTGCAGCATTCCCATAGTCACATGATCAAAATTCAGACACTTGGCAACTGATTCATATTTATGACAATTGCAGTGTCCTGGGGTCATGCAGTGGTGGGATTCAGCTGGTTCGTGCAGTGGTGGGATTTAGCTGGTTCGCACCACTTCGGCAGAACCGGTAGCTAATTTTTTTGTTGCCCAGGCCCAGATTGGACTTCTGGAAGCGGCATCCACACACAGAACCGGTTGTTCACATATTTGTATCCCACCACTGCCGTCATACGATTATCTTTTGTGATCTTCTGGCAAGTAAAGTCAGTGGGGAAGCCAGATTCACTTTACAAGGGTGTTACTAACTTAACAACTGCAGTCATTCATTTAACAACTGCGGCTGGTAAGGTAGTAAAATGGGGCAAAACTCAACTGTCTCGCTTAGCAACAGAAATTTTGGGTTCAATTGTGGTCATAAGTTGAGGACTACCTGTAATATAATATGTCATAAAACATTTCCTATGCTGATGTTTGACTATACTATAGAGTTTAATGTGGACTATTTTCAAGGCCAATACATCTCTGAAAGTATCCCAACCTTTCCAGTGAAGACAGTATATTAGAAGCTTTGTTACTGTTGAAGACGTAATGAATTTGCAATGGAAATATCTCTGAAAGGATGACCCAATGGGCCACAGGTTGTCTAATTCTTCTTTAAAAGTGATTGATCCAAAGTAGTAACAATCCAGTCATAATCAACTCTTTAGGCTGCTACTGGTCCTTGAAGGTGAAAGAAAGAAAACAGATAAGTTTCAGCTATATATTTGTGCTATCGCTTGGATTATTTAGCAGGCCTTTAAACATGAATTATTTGCTTAATGCCTATTTTTGTGCTTATTGTAATTGAAGACCACTTTTAAAAGGAGAGATTTAAATGAATCCATGGCAAGGAGTTTGTGAGCATTTTGCCTACTCAGTATTTGTGATAGTGACAATATTTGATAACGTGACAATATATGTAATATCTGTGAATTGTTATTCTGTTACATGACTCCTGCCGTCTCCTGTCCTTGATAGTACCCATCTTCTGTAGTCTTTTCCAGCAATTTGCAGATTGCCCAACATTTTTAGTAGAATGGACTGGCCCAATGTAAGGTGAAAAAACATTTCCCATCTTAGTCTTGGCAACCATCAAGGCTGCCTTTAAATGGCTCCATGCATTTTGCAGAATTATTGTTAATGTTATTTATTACTAGATCTTTTTCCTGCCTTTTTTACAAATCACTCAATGTGGCAAACATAGATTATACAGGTAGTCCTCAGCTTATGACCTTAGGTTAGTGACCATTCAAACTTACAACAGACCCTGAAAATGGGACCTGGTTTTGAAATTCTGACATTCCCCCCTGCAGTCATATGACCATATTTTGGGCACTTGGCAACTGGCCTACATTTATAGCTATTGACAACTTTCCATGGTTGCATGACTGCAGTTTATGATGTTTTTCCCACAAGTCTGCATTACATCAGGTTTCCAACAAAAAAACATCCCATAGTGAACAATGGGTTTTCTTAAAGACTGCCACATCACTTAATGGCTACCTCAAAAAAGATCATAAAATTGGATGCAGCCATGTGGTGACCCGCTTTACAAACTGTCATGACTTAAGACTGAAGTTATGGGCTCAGTTATGGTCGTAAATTGAGACTACCTATACAGTATTCCTGCCATCTATTTTCCCCAACAAGAACCCTGTGAGTCACCCAGTTGCTTTTCCTGTCTAAGGGAGGCTTAGGACCCACAGTCTCCTGGTTTCTAACCCAGTACCTTCAACTACACCAAGCTGGCATAGTGCATAAAATCTCTGCCCAATGCAGTGACTCTCACAATTCTTTGCAAACAGTGATTCCTTTACACTTCAGCAAGAAGAAAGCAAAGGGGGAAGAATGTGAGCAAATAAACATCTTATTTAGACAGTATCACTCTCTTTAAGAAGTACTTGATGAACTCAGTCCCACAGAACATATCAAAATACTAGAAATCCAGTTTTTCCTGATTTTTTTCAATTTGATTCAAATATTTTAAAAGTAATTGTATCTTTAAAGTATTTTTAAAAGGCCTAACGAGTTTGGGATCAGAACCCTATGTTACTCAACTGAGGAGGTGGAGGAGAGTACAGGAAAGAAGTATTTCTCTTTTTGATGTGGCAGTTGTTGTGGAATGCAAAGACTGCAACAAACCTTTTATCGTTTTGTAACCGATTACAATATTTGTTGAGGAACCAATTAAATAATCCGTTAATATCCTAGCTGTTTTCTCTGTGATATGTAGTTTTATTCGTTGTATATATATTTCAAAAAATTACGATTTGTTCATCACTTTGAGAGAGCATTCTTTCGTTTGAATGTCTGTGGAGATTCTCAGTCATCCAGGTCATGGTTGTCCCAAAGGTGCTTTTTCAAAAGGCAACTGGACTTTTGTCTTTCCTTGAAGATGTTTCATTTCTCATTCAAGAAGCTTCTTCAGTTCTGTTCTTTCTTTTGAAGATGTGTATATCTACCTCCCTGGTCTGCAATCTAAAAAAGAGTAGCTTAAAAGGAAGGGGGGGAAACAAGGGAAGAAGAAAACCACAAACATCCAGTTCTGACATGGAAACCGGAAAAGCACTGGGGAACAAGCCAGATTTTTCAGCAGTGCCAGGAAATGCCTCAGCTTTCTGTGTTTCCTTTTCCTGCAGCTTGATGGGACAGATGCTACCAAATAAGGAATCCACTGAGCTGAACATTTCAAACACAGAAAATAGGAGACCGAACCATTTTTTAATAAATATTAAACTTGGAGAAAATCGTATCTATGTGAACACAAAGAACTGGAAAACGTTTTGATGGCACATAAACATTCAAAGCAATCGAGGTGCCTGCATATATCCTTAGGAGGCATCATTATGGAAGAGACGATTGCGCCCTCTGCTGCTATTTGGCGGAACTTTTAAAACAGTTTTGCAACACCCTTCCTTCTTCTTTGGTGAAAATATCAAGGAAAAAACTGATATCAAAACGTTATGAAATGTAACAGCCCGTTATATCTAGCGGCCCTCGAAAACTCAAGGACAGGCAAATTAGTTTTTCCCCAAAACGGTTGTCTGTTTCCAGGATACTCCCACGGCGGTTGGGGCCAGCATTTTCCCCCCTTTTCA